AGTCTGTTTTACCTCATTAATCTTGTTTGACCTGAGTATGTTCATTTGTATAATTAAGAGTGTTCTATGTATGAAAACCAAGATAGATAACCCTTGAGAAACAGTAATAGGAGTAATGATTCCCTTAAGTATAGGAAGGGGAGGGGGAACAAGGGAGCTGACAGCAATGATGACTGTATAACCCCACTCAACAGGAACGATTAACAGAATTGCAGGTGAACAGATACATTGGATGGTGTAAAAGAAAGCAAATAATAATAATATACAATATAATAATAAGGGTTCCTGGGAAATAGGGTGGGGGGAATAAAGGAGCTGTTATCAAAGAGTTTAAGAATAAAGAAAATGTTGTGAAACTGATGGCAATAGCAATTGTAAAATTATGCTTGATCTAACTGAATTATGGATTGTTATAATATCTGTAACAGTTCCCAATAAAAGGATTAATAAAAAATTAAAAGATCAACAACAACAAAAAAGAATTGGATCTTTGTTTTAGCTGATTCTCTATCAGTGTGTCAGACAGTTGACAAATATTTAATAATTTGGGGGAAATTGTGTTTGCTGAGAAGCAATTTATCTAGTCCAATAACATGCCTTAAGTTACAATGGAATTGTGAATGTAATAAACACATTAACTCATATGTATTCTTCTAATAAATTAGGCTGTAGACTTAAGAAAAAATGGGTAAAATACAAGGAGTCTTCAAGAGTCATAAAAAAAAAATTCCTTACCTTTTCATTTCATTTCCCTATAAACTTTTTGAAGCTGTCATAGAATTTCTTGCATTAATAGCAAAATATTATAGTAATTATGGTATATACACTAATATTTTAACTCAGCTTGAAAGTAAGTAAATTCACTAACTTTTTATTGATTACTCCTTCTTGGAAGGTTCAAGGATTCCACAAATTTTTTTTTAGGAGTTTATATCTAATTTATGTTATGGTGGTAGTCCTTGACCTTAAATGTTACTATGCACGGAATTTATAGCAGATGTATCTATATAAAGGACTTTTTTTTCAAGAGAGATTCAAGTAAATCGGTTTCCCCCACATGCAAAGGGTAAAGAGTTCACGAAAGAAACCCTGAATTATGTTTCTTTTATCAGTTCTAGTGTCCCAGAGAGTGAACCAGAACAGAGATGGTAGCTAAGAAGTGATATCACTGTTAAGTTTTCCTTAACTATTTTAAACACTTGGTATTATGCTGACCTCAAAGAAAGGAAACAGATCGCTGAAGAGTATCAAGCTTTTACTACAATACTTTTTTTTTTAAAGTCAAAGATAATTAAACTAAAAATTATGAACATTAGTAAATTTTCACTCGAAGCTACAGACTTGACTATTAAGATAATACAACTAAAAATCATTGTGATTTCTCTCTTATAAGCATACTTCTACACACTTCACGGTGTGTGTGTCTGCATGCTGACTTGTGGATATATTTTAATGCTGATAACCCGAGGTTCAGACTTCTATTACTAACATGAGGAAATAAAATTACAATGAGAGTATTCAGTCATTAAGAGATAGATATAAATTACAACATAAGAGAAACACCAATATGTTTGAAACACATTTATTTAGATTTACTCCTCATGCTGCCTAAATAGTGCAGCTTGTATGTTCATCCATATAACTCATGCCCTCACTTCCTTCAGATCCCCTGCTCAAATGTCACTTTATTTGGGATGTTTTCCATGACTACCCTACAGAAATAAAAGCTGCGCTGTCCCCTATTATATATTCATACCCAGTTTATTCTTTATCCTTTGCATTTATTGTGTCCTATGACACAATAGTTAATGTTTTGTTCATCTGTGTATTATCTATTTCATCCCACTAGATTTAAGTTACAAGAAGATCTGAATTGAAATTTGTTTAGTGCAGAATCCTTAGTGCTGCAAGAGCACCTGGCACATAGATGACTAATAAATATTTTTACACAAATTAACCCTTTTAAGAACTTGGTTTTCTGGCATTCCATGATGCTCACCTTTCCGACACTATCAATGTAGACAAAACGGTGCATAAGCAAATATGGTGAAGAAAGCTGATAAGGTGGCCGGCGGCTATCAAAAGATATAGCATCTGGGGTCTTAAAGGCTTTAAGATAAACAAGCGGCAATCTAGCTCAGAAGCAAAAGCAACCATGGAAGAAGCACACCAGCCTGTGTGACCATGAGGTGTCGATGGGATCAGGTATCAAGCATCAAAGAACAAAAAATCGTATCATTGTGAATAAGGGGGAGTGCAGAATGGGGCCCCAAAGCCCATCTGTAGGCAACTGGACATCCCCTTACAGAAAAGTCGCAGGAAGGATATGAGTCAGTCAGGGTGCAGTATAGCACCAATGAAACATACAACTTTCCTCTTGTTCTTTAATGTTTCTTCCCGCCCCGCCCCCCACTATCATGATCCCAATTCTACCTTACAAATCTGGCTAGACCAGAGGATGTACATTGGTACAGATAGGAACTGGAAACACACGGAATCCAGGACAGATGAACCCCTCAGGACCAGTGGTGAGAGTGGCGATACCGGGAGGGTGGAGTGAAGGTGTGGTAGAAGGGATCTACATATAACCTCCTCCCTGGGGGACGGACAACAGAAAAGTGGGTGAAGGGAGACATCAGATAGTGTAAGACATGACAAAATAATAATAATTTATATATTATCAAGAGTTTGTGAGGGAGGAGGGGCGGGGAGGGAGGGGAAAAAATGAGGAGCTGATACCAAGGGCTCAAGTACAAAACAAATGTTTTCAGAATGATGATGGCAACAAATGTACAAATGTGCTTGACACAATGGATGGATGTATGGATTGTGATAAGAGTTGTATAAGCATGGAACTGTGTGTGACCTCCTCCCTGGGGGACAGACAACCGAAAAGTGGGTGAAGGGAGATGTCGGACAGGGCAAGATATGACAAAATACCCATTTATAAACTATCAAGGGCCCATGAGGGAGGGGGGAGCGGGGAGGGAGGGAAAAAATGAGGACCTAATGTCGGGGGTTTAAGTGGAGAGAAAATGTTTTGAGAAACGATGTACAAATGTGCTTTACACAATTGATGAGTGTATGGATTGGGATAACAGTTGTATGAGCCCCTAATAAAATGTTTAAAAATAAATAAAATAATAATAATAAAATAAAATAAAAATATTAATAAAAAAAAAAGAGCCCACAATGCAGGGAATCCAGGATAGATAACCCCCTCAGGGCCAACAATAAGAGTAGAGATACCAGGAGGATTAAAGGAGGGTAGGGGGGGGATAGGGGGAACTCATCACAAGGATCAGCCTAAAACTCCCTCCAAGGGGGATGAATAATGGAAAAGTGGGTGAGGGGCAATGGAGGACTTTGTAAGATATGGAAATGATAATCTATTACTTAGTAAGGGTTCATGAGGGAGAGAGGGCAGAGGAGGGAGGGGGAAGAAATGGGGAGCTGGTATCAGGGGCTCAAGTGGGAAGAGAATGCTTTGAAAATTATGATGGTGGCATATGTGCAAATGTATGGATGAATGTATGGATTGTGATAAAAGATGTAAGAGCCCTCAATAAAAGTAAGGGGGAAAAAAAAGAGAGTTGTATAAGCCCCTAATAAAATGATTTTTTTTTTAAAAAGAACTTGGTTGTAAGCCTATCTGACAGTTTATACATACTTCCAATCTTGAGAAAGTATCCAATATCCTTTATAATCTTGAGAAAAATCATGTTTAAAATTAGAAGAGAAGAAAGATCACTTTCCCTGAACAGTAAATTGGAAATATAAAAAAATGCAAAAAGTATCAAAAATGCCAAATGTTTACCTGAATTTCTCAACATCATTGAAGAAACTACATATTGTTAATTTGAATCATTGGCTAGCATTTATTCTCTGTTATTACATCATTTTTCCACATTTACTTCTTTAAATTCATACAATAATATATTGTTAAATACTATACTTTTAATTGGTTGAAACTTTTTCCCAATTTAAAATTTTTTAATTTCCCTTTTTGTTTTTTGTTTGTTTGTGGCTAGTATAAATAACCCTAGCATTAGAATTAGGAGACCGAGTGTCATGTGACCTATACCTTTGTTTGGATGGATGATCATTCAATTTCTCTGAAAGTAGCTTTCTTCGTATGAAACACTAACCTGCCTCCTATCTTAATAAGTTTTTTATGTCAACTTAGATCAAATTTTTAATTCAACTACTTAGAAGACCAAAGCATAAAAATATAAATTTTACTATTATAAATTAACCAAATTTGTAATAAAAAAGAAAAACTCATAATTATTACCAATGGTTTTTCATAAAATACATTATTCAAAATTATATTTAAACATATTAAAAACTAAAAGCAAATGGACTTTTAGATTTCATTGTTGTCTGTAGCAAATACTTTTGCGTGCTTTTATCTAACCCAAGAAAAGCATTTCTCTTCTCACTGCTTCTACCATATTGAGGAAAACCTTCAAAAAGAACATTCAGTGAGTGGCTTAAAACCTGTGATTTAAAAAAAATAATAATAAAATGCTACTTTGACTTTTACGTTATTATCAGTTTGAAGAGCCCCAAACCACTACTCAGCGACAAAGATGAATCTACCTATTACCAGGTTAGGACAGTAGCTATTATCATGTCCCCTGGATTCCTTTCAAGTAGCTCCACTGAAAAAAGCCACAAGTGAATAATAAAGATCTCCATAATAGCTCTTAAGAATTCTTTATATGGTAGAAGGCACTAAAATGAAATCTGGAGAGTTAAAAAAAACTATCATCAGATAAGAAAAAAAAATAATTAACCCGACTTAATGCATTTGAGAAAGCCTTCTGTAAACCAGACTTTTGTACTTCAAGAGCTGGATTAAAACCATGTATCATAAAAGTATGTAGATATTGTTTCATAAGTACACATGGAACATTTCTAAAACTGCCGAGGTTTGCATGTCTTTTTGTGAAATACTCAATACATTCTGCTTAAAAGGGAAAGTGTGAAGTACTTACAGTGCTTAATTTGCTAGAGGTAATAATGATGCGCCTTTCGTGCAGCATACTGGCATACAGTTGCAGCATATTGTTCACATCCACAGCAACAAAATATTCAGTAAGATTTCTCTACACAGGTGAACAAATTGTGCACATTATAGATGATGTTATTTTATGAAGATAAATATTTTATTTACTTAACAAAAAAACTTGAAGTTAAAATAATTAAACTTAATACTATCCTGTTGCCATATTAAACATCATGCACTCCACTAGTATTGAAGCATAAGTCTACTCCATAAAAGTGTTTCTATGCTTCCCACCCTCCTTCCCAAGTATTGTAAGAGAAGCAGATATCCTGAGTCCCAACCTAGACCTGCTAAATTATAATTTTTGGACTATGAGCCTGAGAACCTGATTTTTAATAAGGGTTTCTGGGCATTGTCACTGACACTGCAATTTGAGTACCACTGCTTTAGTGAATGCACTTCAGTATTTTTATGTTTGCTGCTCACCCAGGAGAGGTGTAACTGCTAGGTGCTCAGCTGCTCACCAAGAGTCAGGTAATTCACACCCACCTGCCAGTTCCACAGAAGAACAAGCTGGTGATCTGCTCCTACAATGATTACAGCTCAGAAAATCTGATGGGGCAGTTTTACTCTGCCACTTTATAGAGTTACGAGGCAAATATCAACCCAATGACACCAACAACATTCCCTTAGGATTCAATTGTATCCTTTGATAGTAGGTACTATGTATAAGCCTCGCATAAGATGAGATGGATTTATAAGGAAATCCTTTGATTCCTAATTAAGGGAAATCATTCCTTGGTTATATCCCATGTCAGACCCACGTCATATCACTATAAACAGACACACTTTACTGAACTAATTCAATTACTTGATTAAGCATTTTAAAGCATTCCCCCTACATAAGAACAAAACCTTGGGATAAGCTACCTCAACTGTCAGAGATGTTTAGACTTTGCGATCATTCTCTAATTTTTTTGTGCTCTATCAGAAGGGACAGAATAGGAAGAGACTAAATAAAACAGTAATTAGCTGACACACTAGTACTAAGTAGATTATGGCTCATACGGGTAAACTTTCAGGCGTGCAAGAAAATAATAAATCACAGTGCTTTTCCCATTTCTGAAAGGCAGAAGCTTCACCAAGAGAAACTAGTACACAAGGCAGAGCATAGCAGTAAGACCTATCAGAACAATCGGTAAGGACATTGGTTTGGTGGTGGAGAGAGGTTCATTTCCTGTTTGTGCTTCCTATTTGAACCTACAATCTTCCAATATGTCTCTTTCTTTATAAAATTATATTTATGACTTTTGGAATCAGCATTTTTCCTATACCCACAAAGACAGATCATTTCTAGGTAGGGAATTACTTCTTAGCAGAGAATCCTGCCTTATATTCTGTCACTGCAATGGTGCTTCCCTAAACAGAGTTGTTTGTTCGTGGTCAACCTCAAAAGATGGTTAATGACCATGTACAAATATAAATTTCTTAGTAGCAGATTATATTAGAATATTTGGCTCTTTGAAAATGTCAAATTAGCAGCCTTTTTGAAAAATGTAAGATTTGTTTAATCACTTTATTACCTATTTATAGTAAAATTAAGAAAATGTAAATAGGAAAGAAAGGTGGGGTGAAATGTGTAGCCACTTACTTGGCATTACAAACTCTGAACAGAAGAGACCAGGGTCCACCAATCAAGCCATGGTCAACCTGTAGTAAATACCACAGGAATGCCTTGCCTACGACACAGCATACAAGCTATAGACTGGCCTGAGCTCTCATGGTCCATGTCAGGACCACGTGAAAAGCTGCTTGATATAGTCTTTCAAAGGGCTTATTCAGATTCCGCCATCTTAAAAACATTTTTATATTATCATTATTCATTCTTGCCATTTTACCTTGGTTTTGTTTTTTATTATTACTGCTGGTTTCCAAGTTTGTGAAGCACGGACAGAGAAGATGCGCAAAGATAATAACTGATGCTATGATTTATCGGGGGTTGGGTACGTGTTGAGAGGATTCAGGGAGCAAACAAGGAATCCGGGAGGAGAGGAAGCATCAAAACTGACTGTAATTATGTATATATAACAAATTTTTAAAGTGCTTTAACCCTGAAGTATATGATTTGTGCATACTGTATCAAGAAAACTACTTAAAAAAGGATGTGAAAAATGTAGCCAATGTCATTGAACAATATGTACAGCAATTGTTTAATGGGAATTTAATTTGCCATGTAAACTCTCACCAAAACACAATAAAATATATATTTTTAACAGCATTGATAGTACTAGTGTGATATCGGAAAAATATCCTCTTAGACTCAATCCATTCACTTATGGTACATATGTGTTTCTGGAAATCAAACAGAAGATATTTTTTGAAGAACAAGAGAAAGCTAAGGAAAATACATCTGGATGTATTTTGTCTACTGATGCTTCTTTACTTATGAGTGAATTATACCACTCATTCATTTCAATTTCCAAGGGAAGTTGAAAGTATAATATGTAACAGACTATATCCTCTTATTTTCTCATTGTTACCCAAAAGCATAAAGACATATTTGTCATTTCCATTTCTCAAACGTTTCTACAGAATATTGATTTTTAAAAATTATTAAAATGCAAAAAAAAACACTCTTAGCAAAATGCAAGGCTGTAATTAGAACTCTAAATTAAAATATAACTCTAATTAAAACGCAGTAATTTTTGTAATTTTTGAATTATCACTAAAGTCTTATAAAATATTATTATTTAAAATTAAAATTGGAAAAACAACCACAGGGAAGCTAAAAACTTAACAGTTATGTTCCAGGAAAAATACTGACATAACCATATATTTTTTATCTGATAGAAAAATATTTTCTACCAGGAGGGTTAGGAGAAGGGGGGGAGGATAGGGGGAACTGATCACAATGATCTACCTATAACCCCCTCCCAGGGGCATGGACAACAGAAAAGTGGGTGAAGGGAGACATCGGTCAGCGTAAGACATGGAAAAGTAATAATAATTTATAAATTATCAAGGGTACATGAGGGAGGGGGGGGGCTAAAGAGGGAGGGGTAAAAATGAGAAGTTGATTCCAAGGGCTCAAGTAGAAAGAAAATGTCAAAAAAAAAAAAGAAGAAGAAGAAAAGAAAGAAAAGGAAAAGAAAACGATGAGGGCAACATGTGCTTGACACAATGGATAGATGGATGGATAGATTGCGATAAGAGTTGTACAAGGCACCAATAAAATGATTTAAAGTGCATATATATTTTCTAATGCCAATACTCATAGCCATCTCCAGAAATATCTCCTGTAGGAGTGTCTATATAGGAATAGGAAACTGAATCTATGTGATCTTTCTTCATGATTTCAAATGACAGAAATAGTATTTCTCGTGTGATTTTTCTTATCTACTACCACGTATTAGGAAGGAAATGCAGAATCCAATCAATTATTAGTCCTTATTTCATTATTTCTCACAAGGAGCACAGTTAAGTACAACATATCCTGTTTCTGTACACTAAACCCCTTACGCATGGCAAAGTCAATAACACTTAGCATTGAATACACTGAGTAGAAAATGGAACTTACACTCTCAGGGATGGTTGGGAGTCCCGTTACATCAGGGGCAATGAAGTAGGAATGCTGACCAACAGAAAGGAAAGCACATAAGAAAAGAACACTTAAAACATTTCATGTCATATCTTGAGTTAAGAAAAAATTCAACTAAATTAAGCAGGAAAATGGATTTAGGATTTGTAGAATTTGAAATATCCTTAATATAGGAGATTTATATGAGATTTAACAATAACTTTAACAATAGCATTAACAATAGTAATCATTGAAAATATTTCAATTGAATGGTAACATTTTCCAGAAAATAATCTTGGAATAAGTAAATTAAGACAGAAAAATACATTATCAAATGTTTTATATATGTTTATCCTAAGGGCTTCTAAAAGTCCATGAAAAATGGAGTTAAGATAAAATCTTTCTACAAACTCATTTAAAGCCCCCTCATATAAATGCGTATGTATGTATAGATTCATATTTGTGTTTATTTATATATTTATGTAACATTTCTATATAGTTAAATATTTATATTGATAGAATAATTTATCTAAACTGAAAAAATAAGTCTCACTTAAGACTATATCAAAATCTATTAGGATTCTTGAGTTTACAGTGCAAAGTCAGAACAAATCCATATGCTGCATATCAGAAGCTATATTATTTAGAAAAGTTATCAAATTAAAGTTTTGTCTTTTTCTAGAATTTCAATTAGAAGAGCATCTTTTCTAGTTGCTGTTTCTCTTTACCCAAGTTTATACTTGTCTATTCCCTAGCTAGTGACTTCCCCTTTCCCTTACTACGCCTGAAAAACAATAACGAATATCTATTTTAGTGTTGAAATTTTTTATTTGTACTTTTGTGATGGATTAAATTCACTCATGAAATATTTGTACTTTTGTGATGGATTAATTTCACTCATCACAATCTACTCCACAGTTATCCATGTTATCAGGTGTTTCAAGTTTACGCAGTCTTCTACGAATGGGCATTTAAGTTGTTTCGATCTTGGTGCAGAGAACCTGGTGCGCATATGATCTATTCATGTCACGGCGGTGACTTCTGGAGGATATGCACCAAGTAGAGGGATTGTTGGCTAACATGGTGTCTCTATTCCCAACTTTTAGAGAAAGCACCATAACTCGTTCCACAGTGGTTGCACCATTCTACAGTACCTCTAACGGTATATGAGCGATCCAGTCTCCCCACGCCCTCACCAACAATGGTTTTCAGGTTTGTTTCTTTAGCTTTGTTACTAATGCTAGGTGTGGTGATATCTAATCACTATTTTGATTTGAAATTCTTCAATGGTTAATGAATGCAAGCAATGCTTCATGTTTGTTGGCCACATAACTGTGTTCTTTGGTAAGTATCTATTCGTGTTCTTTGCCTATTGTTTATTGAATCTTTGTTTTATTTGCAGGAGGTTTTATTGGTTTCTTTGTATACTTTCATTTGTACACTTGGGTGCCTTTTATTTTGATTTGACTCCTCCCACATAGCAACTTCGTGAGTAAAGGAGCAAACTGGAAGTTGTCTTGACAATTGGGCACTGAGAGTACATCAAAGGTACTAAGGTGAACTACATACATAAAACCATATACCAACATAATTTACATTTCTGGAAAGTTGGCAAGAACTGAACTTTCCAATAAGCAGATGATGATATATAACTTACTTCAGTTATGGTAAAATTACACAAAATACCAAAGAAAAATTTACCACAACTAATACAGAAGTGCTAGTACAAAAAAAACCTGCATGGTAAGAGCACTGCTATGATCACAATACTGTACAAAATTCACACAACAATAAAAATTCAGGGAAACATTTATGCAACTATGTTGTAAACTTTTAGGATCTTGTTTTCAAAATGTTCTTTAGCCGCACAGAAATTCTACAATCATGGAAAAAACAAAGAAAACACCTTTTTAAAAGATGAACAATGTTCTATTAACACAGTCATTTCATCCCATAACAGAGCCCAGAGCCCAACTCCAAATTCACTGCCATACAGTCAATTCTGACACAAGGCAACAGGCGAGGGAGTCACGAAAACTCGAGCCTCTTTTCAGTGGGAGGTGGAGTGGGGCAAGTGCTGGGCTGTGAAAATAGTTGTGAATGGATACGTGAAGGGAAGAGAGAGGCAGATGACCTACAAGCTAGGAGGTAGGGGAAGGAGAGATTGGCATGGTCAAGTAGGCACCAGTGTTAAGCTGATCGCCTAGAAAAACAGCATTATGGGATCTGCTCTGCAGACACATTAATGGGCACTGACAGCGTTCTCTAAGAGAAATTCAAGAGGGATCATAGGAAGACACTAGCAGTCCTTTGGGAATGAGGGAGGAAATAGGAAGGAAAGGTAAAGCACTGGGGGGAGACAGGGAGGGCTGGAGTGATGGCTATGTGACAAGAAAGAAGTCAATTGCCACAGTGACACTCCCTACTCCACACTTGACAAACCTCTGGATACGTCTCGGAGGCAAACACAGGATAGAGAAACAGCTCACAGGAGGAACCTGCTGCCAACAACCACGTGGCTCAAGCTCAATCGAGGAAATCTTCAGGCCACTCTGTTCCAGAGTGCTTTCTGTCCTGATGGAAGTGTTCTACATCTGTGCTGTCCAAAATAGTAGCCCTTGACTTGTAGTGGGTTCAAGTGACACGTGCACATTTACTTTTAATTACTTGGAAATGAGATTTCTCTCTCAACAAACACTGTAGGGAAAACAGGATCTCCACCTGCAAAGAATGAGGCTAGACCTCCTATATCACGCCATATACGAAAATCAACTCAAAATTGACCTCAATCTAAGCACTGAAACTTATTTGTATTGTTCCTGATGGAAGTGTTGAAAGTTTCTCTGGATTTGAGAATGTCCAATATGTCACGGTCAAAAAAACTTTTCCCAGTCCATGGGTTGTCTTTTCACTCTTTTAGCGAAAGCATTTGATGCACACAAGTGCCTACTTTTTAGGAGGCAATTACCTAGTTGTCTTCAGCTGTTCACACTTTAAATAAACTTAAATTACTTGTAAGTGTAACATATCATCCAAAACACATGACTTCATATGCCCACTAAATAAACATTAATTAGCTTCTAATATGCTGCATATTTTAATGTAGCAACGAGGGGCTTAAATTTCTTTCAGCCTGAGATAATCACAGGGTGTTTTTTTTAAGTTTTCTACCTCTAGATCATTGTACATTTCATTGTAACACTGTATTTTCTCACGTTCCCTTCCTAAATCTTCTATTCAGCTTTTACTTCATCATTCTTTGTGTTTGTTTGTATTAGCTATTCTAAAAAGAAGCGCCCTGATGGCAATTACACGGGGTTTTGAACTGCAGAGTCAGCTTTTCAAAACTACCAGACACTCTGCCAGAGAAAGGCACAGTTCTCTTCTCCCCTTAGGTCTTTCTAGCTTCCGAAACCCCCGGGCCGATTCTACTCTGTCCTATAGGGTTTCTAAGAGTTGGAATGACATGCTGGAAGTAAGTTTGGTTTGATTTTTGTGTTTTTGTATTCTAAAAAGAAATAGATAATACCGAAAGTATCAAATTAAGATGGAAAAAATACAAAGTCACTGTACCAAAATGAATCGATCAGCATTCAACCATTTCATGAGGTAGCATGTAGTCAAGAACAAATGGTAGTAAAGACAACAGTCCAACCTGGAATGAATGAAGGTACTGGCAAAAAGCAAGCATCTAGGAGTTGACAAAATATTAAGATGTACCAACCATGGATCTAACACTAGTATTAAAAATAAAAAAGTTGTACGACAACACCCTGGCAAACCAACTAAGAGAGATTTATATGTGTACTCATTCCAAAGAAAAAAGATCCAACCGAACAAAGAGATTACGTAGCAATATCATTAACATCACACTTAGTAAATAAGCTAACGAGAATCCAAAATAGATGCAGTAGCACATCATCTGAGAACATCCTGAAATTTCAGCTAGATGCATGAGCTACTGGGATGAGGGATGCCACTGCTGACATCAGAGGAATCTTGGCTAAGAGCAGAGAATGCTAGAGAGACGTTAACCAACATTTATTGGCATGCAAAAGCATTTAAAAACTTTGTGGAGCACAACAAATTATGAAAAACATTTCAAAGAAAGGGAATTCCAGAACACATACTTGTGCTCGTGGGGAACCAGTACATAGAACAAGAGGTCACCATTCGAGTGGAGCAGGAGAATGTTGCACAGTTTACTATTCGGACGGGGTGTATCAGTCTTGTATTCTTTCACCCTACTAGTACAAACTACATGCTGAGTAAATAATCTGAGGAACTTTACAAAGAAGGCAGGGACTTCAGGATAAGAGAAATCCCCCATTAACAATTACAATGTGCAGATGAGGCAACCTTGCTTGCTGACAGCAAAGAAGACCTTAAGCACCTACTGACAAAAATCTAAAACTATACAGCCTGTAGCATGGAGTAAACTCAATTAAAGGAAATAAAAATCCTCACAACTGGACCAATAAGCAACATCACGATATATGGAGAAAATAATGAAAAAGTTAAGGACTCATTTTTCTTGGATCTATAATCAACACCCATGGAAGCATCAATCAAAAAATAAAATGACATACTGCATTTGACAAACATACTGTTGTTGAAGACCTTATTTTAAAAAGTTCAAGATCTCCCCCTACAAACTAAGTAAGGTGCACCAGACACAAGCTATGGTATTTTCAATATTCTCAGATTTTTGTAGAGCAGGGCAATTAACAAGAAAAAGAAAAGAACTGATTTCTTTGCTGGTAAAAATATTTAATTTCTCATGGACTAACAGAAACACATGCAAATCTATCTTGGAAGATGTACAGCCAAAAAGCTCACTGGAAGTGATGATGGAGAGAAGCTGTCTGATGTAGTTTGGTCTATTTCCAGACGGGACCCTTTCCTAGAGATGGGCATCGTGCTTGGTAAAGTAGAGGGCCCGTGAAAAAGAAGGAGACCTAAAAAATATCATCTGACACATGGCTGAACAATGGACTAAACACAGCAACAACTAGGAGGACTTCTCAAGATGACGCAACACTTCATCCTGTTGTACACAGTTATGATGTATAAGGTTGTGTGTTGATTTGATGAGCTAAGATTCTCAGTGGTTTGGTAATTAAGATCTAGTCATCCCCCCATAAGGAAATCTAATATAATTTAATCACCTCTATGATGAAATCTGTTATGAGCAGGAGTTGACTGAAAAGGAGTTTCCATGGATGTGTGACCTGTTTCTAATATATGTGGATACTCTGGAAAAAATAATTGCTTTTGGCTGAGTCTAGATCCTGCATCTGGCTTATTATCTGTTTGCTGGATCTTTGGACCTGCGATATTGCCTATTGATCTTGGGATTCATCAAAAGCTTGCCACTTACCCTGTTAACCTTGGTTTCCTTCACCTCTGCAACAAAAAGTCTGCCACCTGACCTGCCGGTGTTGGGTTTATCAACCCTGCAGCTACATGAGTCAGGAGAAGCCCCCAGCATCCTGATAGCCAACTCACAAACTTAAAACTGGCCAGCTTCTACAAATAAGTGTGCCATTTCCTAGATCTATACAAGGAAGTAATATAAATAAATACATAGATTAATAAATAAAGCGATGCTCATTTGTTTTTTTTTTATGTTTTAAGGGGATAGTGCATTTAGAGTTCACTACACCAGCTCAGACTGTTAATCAAGCTTTCTATTTAGAAATTCTGAAAAAAGATTGCATACCAGTGTGTGACAAAAAAGGCCTGATTTGTGGAAGACGGGGAACTGATTTTACCACCACAACAATGCACCTACTCACACAGCCATCTCAGTGCACCAGTTTGGGGCAAAAAAAACAACATCCCTTTCTTGTCCCGTGCACCTGAATCACTTGACCTTACTCCGTGCAACTTCTTTTTGTTTCAAATTTCGATTTTTTAAAAATAATAAGATTAATTAATTAATTAATAAAACAAAAAGAAAGGACAGCAATTTGACGACAGAAGAGGTGAAGAAAAAAAGAGGGAGGTGCTGTCAGGCATCCAAACATGAGTTTGAAAAATGTTTCCAAGAATGAAATCACAGATTTGATAAATGTATTAAGTGTAATGAAAAGTACTTTGAAGATAATAAGGTTGTTTTGTAAAAAAAATTAAATACATAGCTTTCGGGGAAAAAACCCATTTGGGAGGGGGAGGATACCCCCTCGTATCTAAGCATCACTGATTTTATTTCTCTAGAGAGAACCCAGCCTAAGACAGTACAGTTCACTACAACACCTAACAACAATTGCTGAAAGGAGTACAAATGTTAAGAGTCAGATTGTTTATGCCTTCGTGACCCCCATAATTTTCCCAATATTTATAATCCATAATAGAGTATAAATGAATCACCAAAAATGTTTTATTTTCTCTTTATACTCCTTTTCAAAATTATTAATTTTAATTAAATGAGGACATATGGAGCAATTGGCAAAGAAACTGACAAATATTGAGTATAGTTGAAGTCATCAGAACAAGATCAGTTAACATAAACCATCAGTATAATTTTTCTAGGGTGCAAGACCAATATGAGTTAAATCACAGATACTCTTAAGATCTTGTGATGAGCAAACCAAAAAAATGTAACAGGAATCTCCTGCTGTGAATGTACTTCAACATTACTACTACTGATCATAGATTGACATACCCGTATGTTGGAATCGTTTGTCAGTAGCATTACATTTCATAACCATTATTTAAACACAGCATAAACAGAAAATATGCTTCATATGATTAAATTGCTAAAAACAGACCAATTTACCATTCCCCAAAGAACTACAATAAATATTAAACACAGTGAAAGTAGCAATTATTCTCACGATTTACAAATGATTTGTTTGGGTGGGGACAGGGGGCCTTTTAACTCACCGGTACTAGAGAGGTCTGACCTTTCAGAACTTGCTCACTGGCAATAAATATCTCTTGGTTCTTATAGTATATAAGAAAAAAAAGTAAATATTTTACTTTGATAGGGGAAGCTTACACAACAGTTTGCAGTGCATTTGAGACAAATTCATTTAGCCACATTGTTATATGAAACATTTGAATAATATTAATTATAAGTATTATTTTAATTCCTAATTTGCTAAATCCTACACCAGAATAATCCTAAAGAAAGTATTTTGAGACTATAAGAATATAAAATGTAAGAAGTTTTATCAGATATTAACTTTGTACTAGATAGTAACATTAACATTTCTGTGGTAGTCTAATGGCTATATCGTTGTCTCGGAAATATCCATGTGCTAAGCATTCATGATTATGAAATTGTAAGAAAATCATAATAGTATCTATCTTTGGATTTGTAATGATTTTCTACTGGAGATGTATCCAACGGGAGAAAAAAAATTTTCAAACTATTTATGGAAGAAACAAAAGCTACAAGGATAACTCAGTGCAGTATCATGAAAATAAAACTTCAACAAATGTTCTAATTCAAATTTTGCAATTCATTAACAACACAGGTATACATATCTTACTACACGGTATTTTAGCAGCTTATTGTTGAAATCATTAAGAGAACCACACATAAAGATTAGATATTATTTTACCACCTAGCTTATTTTACCAATACAAAGACTTTGTAGTTTGAGTAAGGTTGACTAGGATTGAAAGCTATAATAGGCTACTGTATAGATTCAAAAGCCTAGAAGAGTGAAACTCTAACTTTGGCATTATCATCCATGAAAATAAAGCATGGTCATTAAAATTCCATAAGCAATATAATTTCAGGCACAATTTAAGGTACCTTTGCTAAATATTGCTGGCACAAGATTTATTAAGTTCAATTCACAAATACTTCAATAGCTCCTCCTATGTTATATTTATATTCTATTTCTAATGCAACAATGGGATTAGCTCATTAAATTTCTCTATCAGAAAAAAGGAATTATCAAGAAAAATTTAACTTTCTTAATATAAACACATTTAGGGACAATGACTCAAACTAAAATCCTTTAATTATTCTTCCAACTTTATCATGTTGATTGCTTAGCTCAGATAACTTAGGTAAAGAAGTATAGAAGTCTTCTTTGTTTTATGATTTTGATTCATAAACTAAGGAGTCCTGGTGGCCTAGTGAGTTCTACCTTTAGCAGCTAACTGTAAGTGCAGCAGTTTAAAACTGTCAGCTGCTCTCCAGGAGAAAGATGAGGCTTTCTGCTCTCATAAAAAGTTACAATCTCAGAAACCCACTGGGGCAGCTCTTCCCTGACTGATAGGATCGCTATGAATAGGAACCCACTTGATGGCAGTGAATTTGTTGTTTCATTCATAAAGGTGAATGAAGCAGTTCAATATCCAATATTTTTAGACATTTTATAAGATATTATGCACCTCTGAGCAGATTGTGATATGTGAAATTTTAAGTAATGGTACATTTTTTTTACTTCCCCTTAATAGTTTGCAATAGCTGTCCTCCGTTATCTTAGCACCTAAACTCTGAGTTTTTTTTAAATGTTATTATAACTTTATCAATAAAACTCTCAAAGAAAAATAATTTCCTATTGGGAAAATAAAGGCAGGTTTTTCTTGTTTCACCTTGACTTTGTCTTTGGCCTCTCTGCTGCATCTCTATTAACCATAACCTTGCAGAGGTGTGGGTTTTCCCCTTGCTTGCTCCTCCTCTCATTCACCGCCTGGCTCGCCTTTCTTCTTCCACACAGCCTATTCAGACAGTTCCAAAGCTTTCGACCTTAGGCTTCTGGTCTTTGCTGTGCCTACTCTAGCCTTAGAACAGCTCAACTATTACTATAACCATATGACTGCTAAATTTGAGTTGAAAATTCCAAGGTTGTCCTTAACTCTCCTTAGTTCTTCCAAAGAACTATTAAGCATTTCCTCTTTAGCCAGTCAGAATAAAACATAAAGCAGAAAGAAGTTAAAGAGAACAAGAAGAGTTTAAGCTGTCATGACAAAAGGTTTCACAAAGGCGGAAACGATATAGTCCCAAATTTAAAATGTAAGATGGCTTAGTTTGTTTGTTTTTAAAAGGGGGTATGAGAAGCATGATTCACTCAAGACACTGAACAGAGTAATATATATAACCAGAACACATATTCAATTTAAGAGTAGACAGAGAAAATAAAAGTTGGACTGAAATATAAAAGTTAGACTGAAGATATGGGTAACACTGAAAGCCCAACCAAAAGTAGGAAGAAATTGTGTAGGAAAGGAGGAAAGTTTAAGAAAGATTAATCTTCCAGTACTTTGATGAAAAAAAGATTGAAAACGGAAGAGTCTCTAGGCTAATTAACTACTGTAAGTGCAAAACTAGTGAGCTAGGGTATCAAAATAAGAGAGGAAAACTTAGGTAAGGGGTTATTACCAAAGATAAAAGACAATCAGGGTAGTAATGTTTCTTATCTAGCAAATACTAATACTATTATGTACATTTTGTTTTTCTCTAACGTTCTCTTGTATCATTATTTTTTTTCTTTACTGAACAGAGGTTTATTATTCTTTTGGAAGAAACCAAAATTCATATATACAAACTGAATTTTCATTCAATTCTAATAGGCATACCAACTTATGAAGAATATTAAGAAAACATCTACCTTTTATGATCATAAACCTTGGACATTCACAAAAACCCCAAAACTATTAGTGTGTTTTTAGATATAGATAGCACAACTTACTGAAAGTTTCAATAGGAAATAATCTATCCCACAAAAAGCATACGTGCTATTTAAACAAATTTCAATCCTACTTCCAGTGTCTCATGATTATCCTAGAAAATTTGTTGAAACAGAGGGAAATAACAAGGAGTTTTGTACCTTACATTTTTATCATACAGTTAGTTATATGTTACACGTCACTGTCAATTCTTATTGCATATTGTTTCCGTTTTAGGATGGGGGGGTGTGCTCCTTTTTTATGCATTAATTTATGTTCAAGTTCAGATCAGTGTTCATGACAACCAAAATATCCTCACAGATTTGCTTATATTTCATGTATAATTCAAGAAAATTCTGTAATGTATAGTAACTACCAACATACACATCCAACATTTCAAGTTTTGAGAGTTTACACACTTTAAAAATCTTAATATCATCATGATGTTAATACTAGCACTGGCACTTTCTGAGATCAGCAGTATTTAGATACAGAATTTCTTCAAAGTATGTGCGTGCTTACGTGAGAAACTGTTACTACCACAGGAAAACAAGTATAAACAGAATACTTACCACACTTAAATTGACAGGAGTATTTGCCTTTGGTACTGGATGGTTATAGAGTGACTGAAGAGTTTCATTCAAATCACTGTCCTAAAGAAAAAAACAAGTATATTTTATGAGAAATCTATAACAAATAAATGAAATTGAAACTATTCAATAAGCTAAGCCATCTCATATTAGACATGTTTTAGTAAAACTGCTTTCCACAAAACTATTTCAAGTGAAATGTTTAAAATAAATATTGAAAATTATTTACTTATCTTAATGTAGAAAAAAATCATGTTTCTATTTCCTATAAGTATTACTTAATGAAAACTGTCATTTTAAAAATTAGTTCAATTATTTTCAATGAATATTTTAAGTTGCTTAAGGAATATTTGTGGAGATTTTAAATTTTAAAGTGACCGTTCTCTCCCTTTACTTGGTAACTGCTTCAGACATGATTGATCTGAGTATAATAAAAATTAAAATTAAGCTCTGTATTACAATGATATATAGGATAACTTCAAAAACATGATTATAGTTTATCCATGCCACTTTCCTCTTTATTCATTACTCTAATTTAATTCAAAATATATATTGCAGAATGAATTTTAATATTATAATTTTTAAATGTTACCAAAAATAAGAAGTCTTCTTTCTCTATCATGTATATTAGTGTAATAAATAATTTTTGTGAGCCATTCTAATAAAAGACACTTCATGAATAACCCCATCTTAACATGTTGTTTTTAATTAGCATATTAAAGAGTACATAAAATTTATAATAATTCATCTAAGTCCCAAATTCTAATTTTCACATGTGTATTGTAGCAATGGTTAACATAAGTGCACCATACTAGGCATAAATATATTTGCAACTGAGCTAGATCTATCAAGCCTAATAAATAAATAAATAAAACACTACATCTCTGAAGATGTTTTTTTGCTCCATATTCAGTTCAACTTTAAGAGACTGAACTTTAAACAATAAGGTAGAGAAATAAATGACAGAATACTGAAAAGTTTAAAATGTTTTTTCCTATAGAAAGATTTAGTGCAAGATGAATTATATTGGTAATATGCCCTCCCATATATGCTCATAAATATCAAAACTATAATTGTGTCTATGGTTTCCCACAGAACAATGACTTATAGGCTCTACAAAAAGTGACATAATATCTAAGATCATGTTGTTGTTGACGTTGTTGTTGTTGTGTTTCCATGTGAGCGTAGGACTTCCCCTCAGAACTGTCTAGGCCACAATGGTAACAGGAGTAGGTTCCCAGGACTGGCGGGGTGGGGTTGAAACTCCAAGTTTTGGTTAGCAGTCCAGCTCTTAACTATTGTACACCAGGGCTCTCTTGTCTAGACATCAGATCTCTCAATTATCAAATGGAGGTTGAAGAATCAATATTATTTTTCTAATAAATGCTTATTTATGCAAAAACTTTTTGCTCAATGTATATTTGCTACTGCAGATACAGAAATGTAAGAGACTCAACTATCCATTTAAACTTTAGTTGTGTAGAGAGAATTACAACACAGTGTAAGCACTTGGAACTCCAGAATATACATTTCCTACCTTATTCTGAGGAGTCAGAAAAGTATTTTGAGTAGTATTTGTATTGTACACAAGTTTTCTTTTAAAGTTATCTACTGTTGAATCGCAATGAGTATTATAACAACTAACACAAGTGAGTTACCTATAATCTTGACAACTAACATTGTACCGTTATATTCTGAGAAATAGAAATCACTCAGGCAAGTTGGATGAAACACTATTAGTAGGAAGTGGAAGTAGATTAACCATAATGAAGGTCCAAAGGCAGATCAAGAAGCTTCTTATATGTCATGCTACGGGAAAGGTTTTGGTTTTCCCTTAAAAGAGGCGAGAGGTAGAGAGCTACATTATAAACAGTGAAATGATATTACCAGAAAGTTTAGAATGATTAATTTTAAAGATCAGAATATGGTGGTATATAGGCCAAGGGTATATATTAAATGCCCCATAAATAATATCCAATACTGATAGGAAAAGGAACAAAATTTGTACTACAGGTAGTAGTAAAATTTTAAGGATGGAAGAAATGGGTCAAATGGAAAGAAATAGGTGAAAAAAAGAAAGAACGCTGCGAGGCAACCAAAAGAAACGCGAACTTAAAAGGGAGGTGGGTACATATGAGAATTTAAACACATAGCCAGAAGACGGAAGACCTACCCTGAATGTGGAAATAAGAAAGCGACAATAGGCACTAGTAAGAGGGAGTGGGGAAGAAAATTATTTGAATTTGAATTAAACTGCACCCAATAGCACAGCTAACATCTTGTTAAGGCTTAATAGAGTCTGCTAAGAACCAAAGTTCCTCCATGTTTGCCCCCCGAACCCACCCTATAAAATTCTGCCCAATGGTGACCCTGTAAAATGTTCAGCACAACCAGGAAAGAATGTACCTTTTTCAGCAACCAGCAAATGGAGGACAGTGATGACCACTAAGGAATCAGGGAACCATGAGTGATAACAACCGAAAATGACTACCTGGAGTTTTCATGATGCCACTGATCGATCAAGACGTTGGCCTCTATCCCCCGCCCCCCCCTCCAGAGTGGATAAGCCCAATCCTTACTTATGTATAGTATTTAAGGGCACACACTAGTCCTTGAGCTGACAGTCAATGCCTGTTACAGCCTCAGCCCCAGCTGATGCACTGCTCTGCCTCAGCCTGTCTGTACCCAGGCAAGAAATAAACTTTGCTGTTTATAACCCACCAGACCCCATGAAAAAATTGAGTCCCTTCTCTCGACCTTACACATCTGAGTATATGGACAAGGTCGAATTTCTCCATAGACCTACCAAGTCTGTAAACCTCTAGAAAGCAGACTGCCAAGTGTTCTCTCTCAAAGGGGCTGCTGGTAGGTTTGAACCGCCAACTTTAAATTAGCAGTTAAGAGCTTACCCACTGCACTGCCAGGACTTCTTTCTAAGTAGATAGACTCTTATGAAAGACAACAGCAAACAATTTATCAAACTATGATCCCAAAGACATTAGTCAGTTCAAAGATAAATTTCCATGTTTGTGTCTTAATTAAAAAAAGAATAGCTTACCAGTTCCTTAGCCAAGTAATCTGCCAGAGTATTTAAAAGCTTGTAATATACTTCAAACCAAGGCAGGTAGCTGTAACAAAAGTCATTTTAAAATATATAATTTAGAATCAATAAATAATCACATAAATAGTAAATTCACATTATTTCATACAAGTTGATCCTGGAGGGCAAAAAGAGGTATATACCCAGGTTCTCTTGAGTGTTCCAGTGCAGGTGTGCATGATATTTTCATAAAATAAATCAGACTCTAATGCTGTTATACTCTCGGGGTGGGAGGGTCCCCAACAAAGTCCTCAAGAATGACTTTGTGATTGCGGAAAATATTAAAGACAGATAGAAAGCGAGGCACAGGGCCTCCTCATCCCATGTCAGGAATGAGAGAGAGAATGTATTTTTCAATGAGTATATATAATGGGGCTTACAGATCTTTCATAAGGTGTGCACATCATACAGCTAACATATTACAAAGTTCATAGGTAATATCATAAGCGGGTAACATGATAAACAAGCAACGAGGTGACGCATCCTCTTGACCTAGTGTTAGTTGTCCCTGAACCACCAGCACCCAGTCCTCCCCAGGGGGTTGCTACGTTTATGGTGGGTTGGCTATAGAACCTGATTGCTCCCATCTACAGATAAGCTTTAGGCACTGTGAAGGAGCCAGACATAGACATGATCCATCTTATATGGTAGTTTCTTTATGACAGTTCCTTTCTTTGGTTGGGGGGAGGAAGTTATTGGAGGGACTGTGTTCAGTCATGAGAATGTTTGTTAAGATTTATTTATATCTCAAAAAGATTTATTTATATCTCAGATATTTATATCTAGAGGGTCTTCCCCCACCAGAGTTGGCTTTCCAGACCTATAATTATGAGCATAGAGGACTTAGCTGCATTATCTTCTCATCCAGTTCCTCAGTTTACCACATTATACAAAGTATTCATTATACTTTCCTAGTATATCAACAGTAACTAAAATCACATAATCCTATCTCATGATCATCACTAAAAGCATTTATAGGAAAAAATAAAACAACTTGTTAAAGATGTAATATAGAAGAAAGAAATAATTTTTAAAAGAAGTATTCATCTCCCCCCTGCCCCAAACCTGGGCTTAAGGGAAACTAACGGTACAAGTCAGGACCAGAATGCTCAGGACACAAGTTCTTCTAGTCACGACAGCCTCTTCTCCTCTGTGCTCACAGGCAGGGTTCCTGGCCATCTGCCCATGCTTGGACAGTGTTACATCGCTCTAACGGAGAACCAGTGCAGCCTAAGCCTCAATCAGAAGGCACTGGACTCGAGCTCAGGAACCTTGCTTTGCAATGAAGTGCCCGGAGACACATCACTTAACAAGTAAGCCTTCTACTCAAAAACAGTCAGTTTTACTCCATTGTTCACGAAGCCCACCACTCTTGTCTTTTAAAACAAAATATATAATTATTTCTTTTTAGCTATTACTTAACTGAGTATATAAGGGTACTTCAAAAAATTGTAAAAATTTAATCACCTTTCCTTCTATTTTTCCATGAGTTTTTGAAGCCTCCTTGTATAGTACAATTAAAAGTTTAATTAACAAATTCTACAGAGGCTGATTTTTAAATAGGATGCTAAATATCTAAATAAATCTCAATAAAAGCAACAGAGAACCTGTAAAAGAGAGTGATCTTACAGCTTCTAGATGCCAAAACCAACCATCATTTAAATGTCATTTTATGCTCATTTTAGCATGTAAAACCAGTTAATTTTTATATAAGGTTAAATAATAAATTCAAAAATTATTTGTATGCAACAAAGTTTTATGATTTAAAAATGAAGGTATTAGAAAATTGGAAATCTGCCTAAACTTCTTAAATATTTATTGTATGATCTCACTTATATAAAAATTCTAGAAAATATGAGAGTAACGAGATTAAATTGACCAGTGGTTTCCAGAAGCAGGCAGGGAAGAGGGAAAAGAAGACAACACTTAGTAGACACTCGAGCTGATGAAACAATTCAGGTATGGTTATGGGTGATGGTTGAATATGCACAAATATGTTTAATACAATTGATGTATGGAATGTTATAAGAGCTGTAAGAACCCTCAATAAAATTATTTTAAAAGGGGGGGATGTTGAATATGACGAACCTAGTTAATGTCACTTTAGTGTAAATGTGAAGATTTGTTGAAATGGCAAATGTGCTGTTACTTATATATTTTACAAAAATAAAAAAGCATATATATATGTATACATATACACTTTAAGTATAAAATAGTAAATTTAACAATAAACTTGTTGAATTATAACAAACTTAATTTTCTTCTTCAAAGTATTACTGAAACAGCATACCTTAAAGATAGCATGATACTTTCATTTCACTCACGCATAAAATGAATGTGAAACTCTTAAACAAATGACTACAGCAGTCTACATAGATTTGTTCATATAATCTGATTTATTAGTGACTATGAACAGTATCTTTTGAATCAATAACAAGTTAAATTCCTGACACTAGTCCATCCTCTAATTACCAACTTTAACACTTGGTCCTGTTATGTATAGAAGTGCATCAGATTCAAAGTGTGTAACAAAACTTTTTTCACTATAGTATGTCCAAAAATCTTTATATAAACAACCAAAAAAGACATATATGGTAAATACTATAAATTAAATAAGCTTGCCTTGATATAGTAACCAATTTTATTATTCATGTTCTTATTTTTGTGGTTCCATAGGTAATTTTCAAACAATATATATTCAAAACAATTAACTCTAAACTGTGTAGACTCTTAAATTCATTACCATTAAATTAAAATATTTTTCCACTAAATTTTATAGCTCAAAGACAGTTAAAATCAGTTCCCTTAAAACCATAAAATACCTAGGAATATTTTTTAATGCAGCAATATATTCTCATTAAGTAAGATAATTTATTTGAATTTTTAAAATACTGAAAATGTCATTTCTTTCACAATGAGTAACTATAGCACTCATGATCTTATGAACATATAAAACTACAAAGTAAATAAATTAGGACCAATTTAGTTAAAAGGCAAGCGATTCTTGAAAGGTTAATTATAAGATTATTTCCTTAATTTTTGTAAGGACACAAAGCATAAGACAGATGTATGTATAAAGTCATGAGCCCATTTTGTGCCCATAAGAAGACTTCCCCCACACTTATGTTTCCACTACAGAGCTGATAAAACTTTTACATTCACAAGTCAAAGGTTAAATAAAGGAAAGGAAATGTTTTTTGTCAATTGGTCAAGTAACCACTAACACTTAAGCAATCAGCAGGAACCTAACTTCTAGTAATCAAATAAAACTAAGGAAACTGCCTTTCCGTAGAAAAATGTCTAATGTCTAGAGGCTGTTTTTCTGTCTGGAAAGTTGACACAAAATGTGTAAAATTGAAACATTCTGCTTCTAAGGGATTTGACCAAAGGAAGAGTGTGAAAGCTGAAGTTTGGTCTGAGTTAAAAGGGGGCAGGGAAGAGACTACAAAGGCCCTAAACATAAAATTGTCTTCCTTCGTAGAGTATTTCATTTTGAACCCTTGGCAACATTTTTATAATTGTAAAATTATGCTAATAAAATTACCCCCAAAAAAGGTATTTTTCTATCATGAGTATAAGAAAGCAGTTTTAAGTACAATTACAAAAATTAAATTAGACATATCTCAGAAAAACTTGAAATTCTGATAAAACTAGTATAGACACATGAAAGAAAAAAACAAACTATATGATCATTTGGCTGAAAAGTCCATTGAAATATCAAGTTTTATACTTAGTAAACATACGTTCGAGAATTTCTTCTAAGACGTGAACAAAATTAATAGATACACAAAAGTACATTTTCTTTCAAACGTTTCAACAGCATAAATCCAGAAGAAAAAGAACACATGGTTTTTAAAACACTGTGAACAAATTTTCTAGTTTAGAATGCAAAGAAAGTTAGGCTTAGGAATTTGGATTGCATTTGGTATTTTATGTAGTTGACATGTGCCAGGGAATGCAGGATTGGGCTCTACCCTAAGTCCAGGCAGAATGAGTGAATTTTGCTTATACACTTATTATAAAGTCAAATGGTAAGCATTTCTGATCACCTATTTCCGTTCAACAAGAGCACCAGATTCACTTAGCTAAAACTGATTCCAAAGAGTAGGAAGTGAATTGACCTCAACTAATATCAAAATGCTGTTTTTTATTTCTATGTTGGTTAAATACTTTTTACAATGTAAAAATTCATCTGTCCTGAAAGCCAATGTTTAAAAATCTTGAAATAAAAAACGTGAAGAAGCCAAAAATAATGTAAATCAAGAATTTGGGAAGTAAAGACTGGAAGTTAACTTGCTTTAAATTCACAAAAACTTTTATACCCTTTTTTTTAAGCTTCAAAAATCAGAACAGTCACATTTGGAATACTTTTTGTATCAGTCAATATTTTTAGATATAACCTAGGTCTAAGCCCCAAGTGGGCTTGCTTCTGGAAAGCAAAACTTTAGCAACTGCCTTGATGCACAGAAAACTTTTTTTTAACATACACATTCCATGAAGTCTTTTGTACACATGGTCACGCACAGATGCTTAGATGCTCCAGTATCTGATATGAACACAGGAGTCATCTACCCCATCATTTGACATTCGAAACATCTTCACAAGAACAACCAGATCCAACCGATCTCAAGCTACTGCGTGTGCGAATGAACACCCCCTTTTGCTTCATATCTGAATGCTGTACATCTGTTTTGAATTGTATAATATTTTTGCATATTTATGCTTTGATTCACAGTAAGCTCTCATGTTAAGGAATTTATTTGCATTAAATACAAACTGTAAATAAAAATAAGTGGCTGAGCAAAAAAAAAAAAAACCTAAATTTTTCTTTTTTATTCCTTAAAATGCAAATCCAAATATAAGGTATCATTAAAAAGATTTTTGAAAATATTTTTGAACACAATAAAAAATAATTGTCTGGCATATCATAAAGATATCAAGGAGACAATTAATTTGGTCTTTGAATCTTAATTCATTTGTAGACCAGTACTATCTTACAATATAATACCTAAAATTACAGAGTACACT